AGCCTGTGTTGCCCTAACATGGGTGCAAGAACTCAATATTGCCAAGGCTGTACATGCCACAATGCAAGACAAGCTGGAAAACATGTATCAGTGGGACCCCTTGCACACATGGCACAGCTGCATGGCCAAGGTCATGCAGCACCTCCTTGGTCATGGTCTCAAGGACTTCAAGAACTTCCTTGATGCCCTCATCAACGTCATGAAAGACTCTTGCCTTGCGAGCGTCATGTAATCAAGACAACAGGCAGGCAGGTGGGCTTTCTTTTTCTCTCTTTCTCTTGTTTCTTGTGCTATACAAGGGTGGGTGGGCAGGGCACAAGTTTCTCATTTCTCATTTCTCGTTTCTTGTCTACATGTCTCTATTAATGTGCTTCATGTGCTTTGCACAATGAGCACCTTGATCATAATCAACAAGGGTAGGTGGGAGGTATGTATGTGTTCAATTAAAAAAAATCAAGTAGATACATGACATTCATTTTGTACTTTGATGCATGCACATAATGCAAATTGATTGTGTTTACCTGACTTGTGACGCGCAATCTATCCATCATGTGTCTCATGCCTTGGGCATGTGCCAACTGTCTTGGAGGTCCTTGTACTGCTTGCTTGTCTCACTTGCTCTCCAGCTACTAGAATTCCTCATGGCTCGAACGTCTCCAACAGTCAAGGCATGGCATCATCATGATGCAGTGACAACTGTGAACAGACAAAAGCATGCGAGAGCCTGACAGCACATTCAAGAAGTTGAGGAAGCACTGCATGATGAACTTGATGCCCTCATGGATGAGCTGCACATGAAGAAGGCAGCATTACATGCAATGTTTTGAGTGCACAGATTTGAAAAGAGGAATGAGGGCATGAGCACAACTAATGCTGCATGCCATATCCTTACAGAGGAGTACCACGATCAGCATACGTCTAGACCATACTCTTGTGGCTCATAAGTTGATCGCCGATATTTCCGGTGTTTTATCTCGAGCTCCTTGTTGTAGACTAATATAATAAGTATATGAAATGGCCTGACTCGGAGAGTACTGCATTAATTCGGTTAATTCGCTAACTGCACCGCCACGTACAGCCGGTCATTCAGTTGAAGGGTTATAACCGCTAGCGGCTGTGTCTTGTGTACCATCATTCCGTAATTTTCACTTTGATCTTCTTGACAATATCGACATGTTTACTAGATCAATTTCGGGCTACAGGATATATGCATAGGACTGGTGAGAACTCCTCTTGTCACGTGATCTTATGTGGATTGTCGTGTCCGTGTCGCGTTATTTTCGCACGAAGGGTTCACAGAAGATCCTGCAAGATGTGCTGATGTGGCGGAGCTTGGGACTTAATATGGTCAGAGCTCTGCCTCAAAAAAACTGGCGGTCTTTTTTCATTGATTCGAGATCAAGCGCGCCCAGTGGGCGAGGAACTTTCACCGCTGCACCCAAGAAACGCGTCAATGGCGAAACGATAGTAAGTCCTATTCACCCTACAATGCTATGACTCAGTCGCCTTTCTAGAGGACTCGTAGCAAACAAGCTGCGTATATATATGAATAGAGCTCCTGCAAGAGCAGTCTGTTCTCTGTTAGCTATCTCTCAGCACACGGCCGAAACCATCACACAAAATGAGTGATGCAGACACGAGCTCCGGTAAAGCACCCAACTCTATGTCGTACTTTAGCGCTTTGCAACAGCGTCAAGATCCTACCTCAATCAGCTACGGGTGGAGGATTAACCGCGCTCTGGGATCCGTGGGGTGGGGGTTGAACATTCGGAACGAATATGAACCTCCCCAAGCAATTATATATCGTCCGTGTATGGTGGGAGAGCTTCTGCAGGAGCTGGAACACCGCCTCCACGCCTTATCATGTCCGGATGCTGGCTCGGCTGCAGGCAAAGAATCTCAATCCTGGACTTTACAAGCATCGCGCTCCGTTAATATCAACGAGCGAACGAAGCGCTTATGCGAGGCAACTGTTGCGACTACAAATGATATACTAAGGCGAGTTTCTAAATGAAGCACGCTCGACACAAAAACTCCTCCGTCACGCATGTCCGCTTTCAATAACTCCTCGACAGTATGGTGTGGCCATCCTATTCAAGAATATGGTTACACCATCAAGACACATAGGAACGAGTCTGAAACCCTTGTGATTGGTCTCTCGTCCCATATGAGTGAAGCTCTGGTTGATCTAGTCCACTGGGCGCAAGAATGCACAACGATAGTGCCTCTCAGGGCACATCAACCAGCCGCAGATCATCTCAGACTGCTCCAGCTTGTGCGTTCCCGACATCCTTACTCCTGATCGATCTGATAACTTGCTTAGATCTCTCATCGCTTCGGTTGCTCAAGAGCATCCCATCTTGTTCTCACGTGCCCCTCTCAAACGATTTTTCTCCATTGTGTCCTGGATGCTGAAGACAAGAGGATTATCGAATGCTCCGACTTGGTTTCCTACCAGCAGCGACACCTCGTACTTCCAATCATGGTCTCCCTTCAACTGTCGAAAATGGGCTCCCAAATGGAAACTTCAGTGCCCGTCAATGTGTCTGTTGATGAAGTATATAAAACTATCCAAGCAAGTAAAGCAAAGGCCGAACTGCTAGACGCAGAACGTGTAGACAAGGTGTGTCCACCGTATGACTAACTCTTTCCTTCAACTGACCACACAAAGTTTATTCTGGGCTTTGCGCAGTGTGGCTCTTCGACAGTCCATGAGTATTACGTCATGTCTCCCATGAAGAAACCTGGCACGAGCGATGTCACCTCGATATCTATCGAGGATCCTGAACAGTCGTTGGAGTTGGTTCTCGCCACATTTCTTATCGGTTCCGGAACATGTGGCAGTGTGTTTCTCGCTTCTACAATGGGGAACCAGCAGCTGGCGCTGAAAGTCGCTTCATTCGATCGGGAGGAACCACTATGGAAAGAGTTCGAGATGTATCAACACTTTCGTCGTGCACGTCTGGAGGGGCAAGTGTCGCCTCGGTGCTTTGGTCTGCTCAGAAGCAACCGCATGATCGTTCTCATCACGGCGTACTCTGGTCGAGAACTCAGCAATTTTGACATTGACATTGCAGCCAAGTGAGCCATTACCACACCATGTAATCTGTGAAACTAACAAGATGGAAAGGGTACAAATCGCCGGAGCTATCATTCGGCTTGAGAACGCCGGAATAGTGCAAGGAAGCTTCTATCCACGGAACGTCGTCTGTGATGATAATGGTGTCTTCCGTATCATCGACTTTCACAGGGGATCTTATAAGAAAGGCCGCAGATTCAACCTCCTTGCCATGAAGGATAGGATCTGGAGTTCGGAACTAACAGTGCCAGTGGACACTGACCGCTCTTTGGGCTTAGATTCAATGCACATCATTCCTGTGCCTGAGACGGACGATTCGAGTGAATTCGATGGCACGAACTGATCAGCTAGTCTACATAGAATGTTCTTAATCGTCTGCACATGTATAATGATTGATGGTAACTTGTCACAAAATCCCACGATTAGTCCCTGACTAGTACGAAATGTAGTCATCTTCCTGAAGCTTTCCCCAATTTCACCGAAGGCAAGCGGCATTATGATTCGGTGCTGCAGTACATTCCGACGGGTGGCTTCCATTCGCCATCTAACGACGAAGAGCGAGCAACTTCAGCGAGCACTCGCCTCTCGACCGACCATCTATGCTCTCGCGACTCCGCCAGGCAAGGCAGGTGTTGCTGTCGTTCGAGTATCCGGGCCGCACGTATTCGATGTATGGAAGACTATTGTACGAAGAAATGGAAAGGGAAAAGGAAAAGATATTATGGAACATGCCAGGTTGATACGTTGTGAGTTGTTAGACGCAAACGATGGAGAAGTTCTAGACGACGGTATGGCTGTCTTCTTCCAAGGTCCGTATACTACGACACTATTCGATTTCCTGCACTGATGCATGTAGCACCGGCCTCCTATACAACGGAAGATACAATTGAGCTCCACGTCCACTCTTCTCTGGCCGTCTTGTCTCGCCTTATGTCGTCTCTGTCCGCTCTTCCTGGTGTGAGGCAAGCCGAGCGCGGAGAATTTACGCGTCGCGCATTCGAAGCTGGAAGGATCGACCTTACACAGGCAGAGGCATTGCGTGACCTAATTGAGAGCGAGACGGAGGTGCAGCGGAAATGGGCAAGGAAAGGCGTGGAGGTACGATGATATATCCCCTCCTTGGAATGTGACTGAGGAGGTATCCAGGGCAGGGCGAAGGTCCGATACGAAGCAATGAGGAATGATGCTATTCTCGCGCTTGCCACCGTGGAGGCTCTCATCGACTTTGGGGAAGGGGAGGATATTGAAGAGGGGGCGTGGGACCAAGGTTAGAATTATATCCTTGGGTTGAACAAGTCTCAAAGTCTCCTGCAGCACGACGGCGTGTTAGCAAGCTTCGGGCGAACATTGCACATCACCTCTCTCCCTCGCAGAGGGGAGAAATATACACGAGTGGATTATCATTAGTAATATTCGGCCCTCCAAATGCAGGCAAGAGCAGCCTACTTAATCACCTCGGTATGCATCTTTCAGCCCTCTGTTGAGCATCCAGGTGATCCCCCATCCAGCCCAACGCGAAGCAGCTATCGTCACCCCTATACCAGGCACGACGCGTGACGTGCTCGAGGTTGCGCTGGACATTGCTGGATGGCGTGTCAAAGTGCATGATACTGCCGGCCTTCGCCCCTCCTCAGACGTTGTCGAGAGCATCGGTGTGCAGCGCGCCGGCCAAGCTGTGGAGGGAGCCGACCTGGCTGTATGCGTGCTATCCCTCCCCGAGCTAGTGAACAACGGTTTCCGCGTACCGGACATGATCGGCAAGCACGTTACACAGGAGACGGTGGCTCTACTGAACAAGGTGGACGCGGTCGACCCAGCGCAGCTCGGAGAGTGGCTCGATTTCGCCAGGATGGCGCTCCCACCTGGAACGCCAATATGGCCAATCAGCATACAGCGGGGAGATGGGATGTCGGAGCTGTCAGACGGCCTCGCAGAGGTGATCAAACACCGGTTCGTGCCTTTGCCTGAATTGTGCAACTCTACCTCATGAATCCCAGATACGAGCATTCCGAAGGGGACGAGCCGCTCATCACACACGCACGACATCGCGCGCACCTGGAAGCGACACTCAGGTTTCTAGACGCGTTCCTCGCGCTCGGTATATTCTTTTGACAGCGTCATGTGTAAAGCTGACCGAAATCTAGGTGTGGAGGATGTCGTCCTCGCTGCTGAGGAATTACGCTACGCAGCGAAGGAGTTGAGCAAAGTCACAGGCCTTATCGATGTAGAAGATGTGCTGAACGCGGTATTCAAAGAGTTCTGCATCGGGAAATAAGCAGATTGCATAACGACGCTCGGTCGCGTGTATAATGTAATTGAAGCTGATATGCTAGGGATACAATAATGAATGCGTAAGTACAGGACATGCAAGCGAGACCGTTCGATCAGATCCATGTATCCCTCCGTATCTTGTATCCGGGTTCATCCCGCAACCTTGACGATGACTACCTCTCCCTCCCCTAACCGTTCCAGTGCCTCAGCTGCCTCGTCCAAGCCAACGACCCTTACTCCATCCAGATGGCCCGTTCCGTCCTGCGGGTTATCGGGGTCTAGAGAGAGAAATGGTACACATACTCCTTCCTGCGCACTGAGGACGACAGCCTCAAGCGTGTCACGGACGTCTTCTCCATCCCGATCTACAGCGGTGAGAGGGGAGATCCACTCATAGTCGACTCGTTTCGCTTTGTCCGTTTTGGGCTGGGGGAGAGAAACGGCCGATTGGGAGGCAGAGCGCTGGTGCACATGTGTGGAAGGAGTGAGGAAGGCGCGACGCAGCGACCGGAGATTGGAGTGGATCTGTGCACGCATCGTTGGCGCAGAACCAGGATCGTCCCCAACGAGCGTAGTGAACTGTCCTCCGTCCTTGAGCACCGCACGGGCAGCGCTCCATACGTCATGGCCACCGATACAGTCAACGACGAGGTCGAACTTGCTCTCCTCTATCGCCCTCTCCTTGTCTTTCTCCTTCTCTCTCTCCTTCTCCTTTTCCCTGTCCTTCTCTAACTTCCTCTTCTTCTTCCCGTCGATCTGCTCTCTGCTCTCATCCATCTCCTCCCTCTCCGCACTACTCTCCCTCTCCAGCTCTCGCTGACCAGCAGCCAAAGCCCACTCAGCCAAAGCCTCCAAACACCCCCCCACCTCCCCCTCCCAAACCTCCTCCGCCTCACACACCCTTCCAAGCCTTTCCGAATCCACTTCCCCTTCCCTTTCGGCTTCCCCTTCTTCTCCCTCATTCTCCCCGCCCTCTTTGTCCGGCTCTCGTTCCCACCCTTCGCGCTCCATCTCCCTCTCCCATTCTGACTTCACAACCTGTGTCTCCATCCGCGAGGGAGACCGGTCCGGCGGCCGGGATCGGGACCTGCTCCTTCCTTCGACCTGCACACAAACTCCCCATCCCCCCGCCCTCAGTTCCCTAGCACACATCACCCCCTCTCCCACTCCACCCATCCCTTTTCCAAGCAAGATCAGCCCCCTCCCTTCCCCTTGTGCCGTCCTCGCTGCCCTCATTCCCGGCACACCAACCAGCGGCAAGAGCGAGAGTTGCAATAGTGTGAGGTCTGACTTCGAGGTTGCGCAGGGACATAGCCGCCTCCTGTCGACGATGACGAACTCTGCTAGTGCACCAGGGTGCCGCGGGTCGAGTAACGCGAGAACCCATTCTCCTCTCGTCAAACCCGGACAGTCCCAGCCCGCTTCTACCACCTGCCCTATAAGTGCACGGCCGGGGATGTAGCCGAACGCTTCCGATGAAGAGAGTTTTTGACGGAGGAGGAGGGCGTCGGCGTAGTTCAGCGAGCAGACGAATACGCGAACCAGGGCGGATTGGGGTGGGACGCGGGAGGGAGGAGGGGTGCGGACCGTGAATGCTAGTGCGTGTTCTGGGGATTCTCGGCTTGGAGAGCTTTGTGATTGCGAGAGGGAGAGCGAAAGACGGTGGGAGCGGCTCTTCGCTGCGCCGCGGACGACAGAAACAGTCGCCATTGCCGCTTGGCCTATCCCTAGTTTTGTGACGTCCACTTTTCCCTCGGTAGCGGCACGCCAGGGGTCGGAAGGGACGTAAGAGGCGTGAGGAAGGAGGAGGGATGTGTATCCTGTTGGTTGGGAGGGAAGAGTGATAGGCAGGGGAGAGGGGAGGAGAACGGTGTGTGACTGGGAGGTGGAGTGGGAGTGGGAGTGGGAGGTGTGAGAAGAGCGGGAGAGAGAACGGGTGGGTGCTGAACTAGTGCGAGGGCGGATGGAAGGTGCGCGTACGGGGGCAGAACACGGAGTTACCGCCGGTGTCGGTGGGGGCGGGGGTGGTGGGACGGTAGATCCTGGCCTGACTGTCGAGGAGCTCGGTAGGGAAGAGGCAGCCGAACCCACATGGAGCAAGTCCTCGTCCAATTCGGGGACGTCTGACATCCTGGGGTGAGGTGAGAGGGCCGAGTGAGCTGAATGGGCTGAATGAGGAGGGCGAGGGTGCCGAGGAAGGGGGACGCTGTACGAGTGGGGAAGGGAAGGCAGGGGGGGCGAAGAAAGCGCTTGCGTTCGAGTCTGCATAGGCATAGAGGCAGACTTTGTACGTGTTCTCTGCTGGTCAGAGGCCGAGTCAGAAGCAGAGACATAGGTTGGGGTGGCAGGTACGAAGGCAGCCGCAGAGGTAGAGGCAGGCAGCGCCCGTTCAGACCGGACGGAACTCGAATTACGTCGGCTCGGAGCTGCGGTCGGCGCCTTAGTTGGCTCGAGCACTGCAGGTGCAGGTGCGGAGCGGGTTGACAAGCTCCGAGAGGGCGGGGCCGAAGCCAGCGGGAGATGGGAAGATCCGGAGGTGTTGGGATGTCGGCTGCTGGTTCGTTGGCTCTGACTTCTCCGTACGACGATCTTCCCTTGATTGCTCGTCTTGCTCTCATCGGAGTACCTATGTTGGGCGAGTTCTTGAGGAAGGACAAGCCACCTGACGTCTTTGGCCCAATCTTGTGCCGTATCAGCAGAGACTGTGCTGCTGCTCTCCCGTGGCGAAACCGTGGGTGGGAGAGGGTCCCTATTACCCATTTTGCCCGACGCTCGCTGAACGCCCCTGCTAGATTTGGAGGATGCTTCCCTCGATAATGCCGGTGTCGTCATCCCCGTACTGGCGCTTTTGCTCCAGGAATAGCTCGAGAAGGCGTCTTCCGAAGCCGTTGTTCCGCTCGTCGAAGTGCTTCGAGGGCTGAGTGCGGGGGCTGGAGGTCGAGCTGCCCTGAGGAGACGAGGAATAGAATGAATCTTTGGTGTTTGAGTTGCCTTGATAGGGGGGAGGGGTAGGACAGGAGGGAGGGGAAGGGAATGGGTGGGTGATGATGAGGGTGATTCGGGAGGAGTGATGAACTCATCTTCGTCGCTTTCTCCTTGTTGGGAGAGAGGAGGCTTGCACAGGATAGACATGAGTGAAGGTGAATGCGACGTCGGCAATGGTGGTGTCGAAGGATGTAGGACAACCATCGGCGGTTCTATTTTCGGTATTTCCACACTTGACGTTTCCCTCTCATTGCCTGCCTCTCTCTCCTCCTTCTGCCTATTCACTCCCTCTCGAGCCCATTCCCAATCCTCTCTATAGAACCCTTCATGCCTCCCCTTCCCCTGTCCTTCCCACACTTCCCCATCTGGTGCATACTTGCGTGATGGCCGTCCGAGGAGATGTTGAAGAAAGGTTGGTTTTGGCATGCCGTGCTGCTAGGTGAGGGCTCTTATATTTGTTGGATCATGTTATTGCCTATGCCAAGGATTGCTTATTATGTTCAAGATATTGAGTATACTGTAGTTGCAGTTGTAGACGTTGAGGAGGTCGTTGAGGATGTTGTTGAGGATGTTGTTGAGGATGAGGAGGTGCCTGTGCAAGGACACGGCGAGTTGACTCGAGGATGTGCTTCCGATCGCTTCTCGACTGAATTGGACATGACGTCACTGCACAGCCACATCATCATTGTCATTAATTAGCTTCTCTGGTATGATGATGATATTCTCGATGGACATGATACGTGAAATTATTGCAGATTTGTGTAATGCTTCAAATTTAATCGACTATTACCTATGCTGGGATGAATATGGTCAAGAAGATAATATATTTTATGTGTTGATAACCCAACATATTCGCATCAGCTGGACTCTCCCGGTCTAGTCGGGAGTCACGCGATCTTCACCTAACACTAGAGTTCATCTCATACTCAGACAATCCAGCCTCCCTCCTCGACTCTCACATCAGTACTGTCCAACCTACAACCACCCCCACCACCCCACAAAATGTCCACCAACCCTCCCTCCCCAGCGCCCGGCTTCTCATCCCGCGCCTCCCTCCTACTCCAAACCACCCACTCCCTCTGCACCCTTTTCTCCCACTCCTCCCCTCCATCCCGAATCCGAGAACTCTTCACCCCCTCACCAACGATAACGGAGCACGGACCTCCTCTCCTCCCTTTCCTGCGCACGTTTTCCGGACCCTCGGCCGTCTCCGACTACCTGGGCATCCTCTCCGAGCACCTATCTCTCTCTTCCGTCCAATACGGCCAACCCACGATAGACAAAGACAAAGAAACAGTGACGATCTCCGCCCACGCGCGGTTCACTTGGCTCTCACCCCCGGGAACTGGAACCTCATGGACCGAAGACTTCCTCTACATGCTGAGCGAGTTTGACCCCCGGGGCAGGGTGGGGAGATGGGACGTCTGGGCAGACCCGTTGAGCGCTTGGCTTGCTAGTCGGGGGAAGACGGTGCAGTCTGTCCTGGATTCTTCGGAGGAGGGGATTTGAACATGGATGCAGCCGTAGTTGTGGAAAGGCATATGTGCTTATGACTCCAAGACTTGTTATGTGGAACGCATGATTGATTTCGCCTTCGATTACATTGACATGCGGAGGACGATCTTCCCCCTCTGTTCACCCCTCCTCATCAACCCCGCCGCTTCCTCCCACCCCTCTTTCGTAAACTCACACACCTTGCACACAGCCGGCCTCACCCTCCCCCCACTGAAAAAGCTCAGCATCTCCTCAAACTCACGGGGTGAGCCCATAATAGACTGCCGGAGGAAATAGAGAGAGCGTATCTGGTCATGTGACAGAGTTTGGGAAACGAGGGTGGGGTTGCCGAAGAAGATGTATCTCCGCGCGTGTCAGTCGATTAGGAGCGAACGGTACGAAGAAGGAGGGGACGGACCGGTCACCAATCTTCAGTCGCTGTGTGCACTGTTCGACCGCGCCGGAGGAATCGATCACCACGTCTATTACGCGTTCGGAGCCTGAGGAGCTGACGAAGGCGGCAAGCCGTTGTGGCTAGGATGGATCTCTGTCGTCCACTGGTTTGGGGTAGCATGATTCGGTCAGTCAAGAGAGAAATGAGATAACGCATAACATGAACGTAATGGACAGAAGACTACAGCAGTGAAAGAGCAAAGGAACTAGAGAATGAGACGAGAAATGAGAAAAACATGTGAGAAGACTTACCACCACCCTCCGCGCCCAGCGTTTTCGCAAACGCAATCTTCTCCTCTTTCGAGCTAGTCGTCCATACCCTCGCCCCAAAGCCTTGGCAAACTGGATGGCGAATGTGCTCAGTCCTGACCCAGCGGCAGTCACCGTCCCCCAACAAACACATCAGTACCTGCTGCAGGAGGATAGGAGAGGAGATGGAGCGAGGACGTTCATCCCCTCCCTCACCTGGCCGCACGTCTTCACCGCCCTCCAAGCTGTCAGCCCCGCCAGCGGCAGCGCCGGCAGCGCTGCCAGCTCCTCCACACTCCACTGCTCCATCCCACGCAAAGGATAGACGTTCTCGAAAAGTACGTCGACGTACTCTGCGAAGGTGCCGTCGTCGGGCTGACAGCCTAGGAGTCGGAATTGGGGCCGACGGGATGGGGTCGGGGCCCCAGCAGACGGTGGGGAGGATGAGAACGCGGGTGTTTAGGTGGGCCTTGAGGCCACTCTAGGGAAGACCGAAGGAGACAAGTGTCCTCACTCCGTCAGATCCGAGCACACTTCCATCCTTCAGATTCGGATACATGTTGAGCGCAATCCACTCGTCGCGTTTATTTAGTGCCGCTATCGCCCCGACGCATCAGTGTATGTCCATACTCCTCGTGGGGAGAGGCGTACCGGTCAGGATCTTGATACGTGCGTATCCCGGTGCGGGATGGTCGGGCAAGGGATGACGCTGGAAGACGACTTCGTTAGGCTCCCCCGCGGAGGAGAGGTGCAGTACGACTATTTTCGGTCAGTAGGCTCACGAGAAAGGTAAAGACGGCAAACCTGCGTTCATGAACATGTTGAAACAACCAGCGTATGCTGGCATAGACGGCGCCGGAGTAGAGTTGTTATACTCAGATGGAAGCGCATGGTCGTCGGGTTGTCAATGTGCCGCCCAGGGCTTTTAGAAATGCATGCCGAGTAGACTTCTTATGGGGTGATTGTCATGGAGATTTGAGGTTAACAAGGGCAGTTGATGGCAGCTGGTCAAGCACACAAATATTAATGGTCGGTGTGAGGAAGCCGGTGCCGACTATCGGCCCGAACTTTCCGGAGCGGGTCTATATGTGCACTCACTGTGTGGATCGACTTTGTCTACGTTGTACAAACTATCCTGCAGTCACGACGCATCGTGGTAGTCTACAGAGGCTTCCTGCCCGTCCAGATGAGGTACGGCAGGCTCTGGCCAGTGCTACGCCATTCCTCCCCTAGCAAGTCAAGCCATTGATCGAACTTTTCATGGGTCTTCCCCATCCCCAGCCCTAAAATACCACATCAGCTATCAATACACTCTCCCAGCGAGAACGCAAGTGCTTACCTCCGAGTCGGACGATAGCCCCTTTCATACCACGCCAAGCCTCGATGCTCCCATGATGCGCATCCGTGCACTGACCATCAACAACTAAGGGAATCCCCAGCTTTTCCAACCGAACGTCAACAAACCCTGCCGTCTCGAGAAGACCTTCGATCTTCGGGTACATCTCCGGATCGACGTTCTTTAGGCCGCACAGCGTCCTCAGCCCTTCGATCGAAGCGAGCGAGTAGGGGGGAATATCGTGGTCCTTATGCAGCGACCAAAGGATGTCGTATTCCTCTATCTGGACCCATCCACCAGGCTTGAGAACGCGGAACTGCTCCTCGATGCATTTCTTCCATGCGTCGGAGGAGAATGCCAGCCCCATCAGGCGCTGATGGACCAGGTTGAAGCGGGAGGACCAGTCCTTCGGCAGGTCGAGGCTGGACTGTATCACGAAGATTTGGTTTGAAAGAGGCTTGGGGAAGAGCTTGTCCTCAATATCAGCGCCGATCAGAGAGACAGTGGATGGCACTGTCTTGGCGATGTGGTTAAGCCAAACGCCTGAGCGAGACTAAGCGCATTTCCGAATCTCGGACGACCATTACTTGCCTGTTCCCGTGCCAAGATCAAGGATAGAATCTCCATCCTGAAGTTTCAATCCAGGAGGAGTGATGTCCTTTATCTCAGAGACCAGAATGCGATGCTGCCGCTCCAACCTATGTCCTCTGTTTAGCGCCGTCAAAATCAATGCCGCGAACATACCTCAACCGCTCCTCTTCATCAGAAGGTAAAAGGTAGCTCTCCGCCGTGTAGTATCTCTCTTCTTGAGACCTCGTCTCTTGGGGGGCAGGGTTGGCGGCGACACTAGTGGTCATGGTTAGGCAAAGGATAACGACGACTGTAGAGGCTCCCTCACAAGCATTGTTGAGGTATTTATGTCCATATCTCGTTATTATTACGCACAGCATCATCAGCGTCTATGGGGTAACATGCCTGAGCGTTCTGTAGAACGTTCTTCCAAGCAGCCTCTGCGTTCGAGTGCGCCAGCAGACAGGGGATCGAACGTTTCGGCATACGTCACGTGAACAATAGTGCTTTCGCGACCGCACCAAGCCTATTGACGAGCCACAAGGCGTTTGAGCCGTCCGCACGGCATTTGTATCAACGTCAGACCCTCGCAAACATTCTTCCAAAGTGCCGATGAAGGCGCCGAGATCTCAGTGGTCGTAATCATTTTAGTGCTGCAGTTCTCCTCATGTGGTGCAAAGATCATCCTGGAATCAGGACAATCAAACGCCAACAGTCTTGGTAAAGTCATAGCTGTGATGAGATATGGGCCACTATCTCGGCAGATTGATAGGCGGATGAGAGCAACGGACGACTGGACATCGCGGGCGCAGCCAGGGGAACGGGTGGCGCGTCACGTGGTCAAATAGTTTTCATGCTTACACACTCCGCGCTGTTTATTGTCTACACGCTCTCCGCCTTTTTCCTAACTGTACCCTCTCTGTTATTGGATCTCTACATCGGCTTTCTTGCAATCCAATTACACCATGTCTTCGTGTACACTCCAGTTTGCCATTCCTGCTCCATCTGATCCATGAGGCTGTCGAACTCTTGACTGGTCGACGCGTTCTCCGCTACTGTGGTATCATGAGAGAACTTCTCAACAGGGAACGATAATCACACCTTTCGAGGCCAGAAATGGGGTCTTCATTCCCCGATACGCGTCCACGAGCGTATCGCAAGCTGCGTTGTCCGGCCCGCCCAGAATGATACTTCTGTATGTCTCGTCTTCGATCTCGAAGCCCGCGTCTTGCAACATGCTGGAAATGTTGGGGATAACATCACCGCCTACACCCCGTTTCTCGCAAAGAATTCTGAGTGCTTGCGTGAATTGGCTGGTAGCGGGAGGTACGTCACTCGCGGTTGAGAGGATGTCGATGGAATCAAGTTCCTCAAGCTTGAAGTAACCCCCAGGCTTGAGAACCCGAAACAAAGCGGCAAACGCTTTCTTCCATCCTTCATGGCTAAGAGCAGAAATCATCAAACGCTGGTGCACAAGCGTGAAGGTCGAGTTCAGCTCAGAAGGCAGGTCGAACGTCGATCCGACTATGAATTTCATGTTCGGTTTGGCCGGTGGAAACAGCCGACCTTCGATATCCACACCGATGAGGTTGACGCCGTTAGGGACATTCTTCGCGAGCTCAAGAAGCCATATACCTGTTTCAACTGCTAAGTATCGATGCGACTTTCGCTGGACAGCATACCCGAGCCTGTGCCTGCGTCAAGGACCGTATCACCGTCTTTCAACTCAAGTCCAGGGGGAACAAGACCACCGCTATACGGCTGGAGGGCCTCGTGCTGCCTGTTTAAACGGATTCGTTCTTTCTCATCGGAGGGAAGGAGATAAGTTTCAGCTGTGTAGTATCGGCCCGTCTCCAGTTCGGGATTCGCGTGTTGGTCAGCCATTTTCTGACACCTAAGCAAGTATCGGGATGCCACCGATGAGACGATGGGAGACGAAACCTGAAGCGTTCGGATGGCACGGATAAATCTAATATCTTTATCTAGAAGTTGTGAGAGTACCACGTTGGTCTTCTGGTGGCCTGGAGTGGCTGGACGATATTAGTCATATGACGTGACTAATCAGACAGTCCGAGACCCCTAATACACAAACCCAATGCCGGACATCCGCATAAGCCAATCCCTTGTATATCGGTCCCCATACATGCAAACCATCACGCCCTAAAAGCAAATCGCCGTACAGCGAGCATCCAGATGCAAACACCGACCACCATAAGATGGAGGGTAGTTATGAGCACCATTGACTTGTGCGCCAGGCACCGCGTGGAGACTGGGCGCATGCAACACGGTGAAAGAGCCCCTCTCGGCCAGCAGTCCAGGTAACGGGATACGGGGGCACGTTATGTTCCTTCGCAGCGGGCGTTAATCGGACTGCAGACTGGGGGAATCGGAAGCCCAAGCATGAGGAGGGGCGCCGTAACGCATAGCCTCGTTGGTGATAGAGAAGCAGTATCTACCCAGCCGCGGATGGAATACATGAACGTGACTGTATGTATTTCTCTCGTTTTCGTTTCTCGGCATGGGACAAACAAGCCCTCGATGTAGAAGTATGCTACAGGTATTCACGACACTGCATCAAGTTTCAAACTCCGACAGTTCCACCTGAAGAATTCGCCTGAAAAACAGAAGCATCATGTCAAGGTGACTCCTCGTCAACGTGGAATACACGCGCTTCCTTAATCAAGCATACATAGATAAATCGGCCAGTATGCAAATACGATGCCCGCATCTCGAACTTGACTTGCTGATTCTGCTTTACGAGCCAACTGCCCCCTTCTCTGTTTCACCCTACGAACATGGGCGACACGCACGATGCTCCTGCCTCTAACACAGCACCGACTCTTCCTTTCTGGATTTGCTCTACCAGCGGGGCGATGAGTCACAGGCTGATGTCCCTGTGAACCCTCTGCCTCTTGGCTGGAGTATAGAGGACAAGAAGCTCCCTCCGACTGGTGTCCTCGTACACGATCCTGAGATGGTGCCCTGGCTCTTGCGTCAGCTGGATGTCCTCATGGAAGACAAGAAGTTTCCTGCGCCGGATCCTAATGGGAACGCTTATAAGGCGATGCAAGAATGGAAAGAAGGGACGACGATGGCTCTCCACTATCTTAGTAATGGACGCCAGAGGCTCCTTCGAGCGATCATCGCCGTCACAAAAGATATTGTCGAACAGTACCCAAAGCATTGTCCGGATACCTCGGATGAATCAGGCAAATCGTCTTTGGTTCGAGTCCATGAGCGGACAAACGATCCATACAGTCGTTATATGCGATGGTCCGGCGATGATATTCTGCAGCCAGACAATGTGGACTTGAAAACTTCTACTGGCGTGCAATTTCACTCCACCCGGCTACTCCAGTTGCCTCGGGAGATGGCGGAATATCATTTGCCTAGAATCGTGAATGCGTGCAAGGAACAGAAGACCTATCAGATGGGAGTGTCCTCTTCGCCGTCCGACATCATGCGCCTTGTGCAGCGGGTGAGTTTCCTTCATGAGCTCATGCGGAACGATCACATTGATCGGCGCTATATTCTAGATTGTCCATTGGGCATGGATCAATAACCCCTTAGGCTCGCATATTCTCTTGCATTCATATAGCACGTCCATTCTGTTGAGACTGAGAATTTCGCCTGAGGACAACACACAAATTCTTGCGTGCTCCGATATCATCTCTGACTGTCATCTACTTTCCGCCGTTGGCGTCTCCCTGCAACTCGCATGTTGGAGCCAGCACAGCAACAATTCCCCTATCCGGAGGCACACCGGGATCATCATCAACTTCCTGCGAATGTTTCTGTATCAGCTCCTGACGGCGAGTTGAAGATCCCGGAAGACATGGATATGTCATTGGATATCCTTGATACCGTTCCTGAGGCAAGAACCGTGTGCTCATCCTTGCTTGCTCTGATCCCACTTTAGATCATCATTGCCTTCGCACGTCCAGGAGCCACCTCCTCCTATGAACATTATAAGCTCTCTCGCACGGATGGCGGGCCCAAAAAGATCCTCAGTGCAGCTGAAAACGAGCGGGATACGTCCAAACATTCCTCACCAGTTGTACTTGCCGCCCATTTGAAAATCGGGGAAGGAACCTGTGGTTATGTTTACATGGCACAACATGGTTTACACAGGATAGCGGCAAAGGTCTCAATGCCGGAACAAGATGAACGTGAATCTCTTGTTAATGAGTACGAGACATATATGCGCCTGCGACGAGCAGGACTTGAGGGGAAGGTGGCTCCCAGATGCTTCGGGCTGTTCGAGGGTGAGACTATGACCGTCTTGTTGACGGCATATTCTGGTTCTGCAGTTAAGGATTTTGATCAACTTAGCATTGAAGATCGGTAAGCGATATGCTTTTTGTGTATATATGCCCCACTAAGCTGTTCCAGCTTGTCCGTGTTCCGTGCTGCGAAAGCGATCGAGGATATTGGTATTCGGCAAGGCAGCTTTTCGTCACGAAATGTCGTCTGTGATGACAAGAACGTGTTCCGAGTCATCGACTTCCATCGAGGCACCTGGGAGAAAGGGCGAAAACCGACTCTCAAAGACCTGTACACCATCTACTTCTACACAGAAGCAGTTAAACCGTCCTGGTGTGATGTTCTGGAGCTTGAGTGGAGACACGTTGTCCCACTTCCCGAAACAGACGACTCTGACTTGAGTGAGGAGTCTGCTACGGGGAACTAGGTAAATCAATGGATTGATGATGTTCCGTGTGGAATTGCAATGAATGTACAATATCACATATGCCGATCTGTCCCCTGAATGACTGCTGGCAGGGTCACCGCCAACTTTTCTCCCTTATTTGGACTGCCCGTCCACCGACTGATCGCTAGCAGAGTCATCGCGATGGAGCGCCAGATATAGAAGAAATTAACCCAAAATCGGGGATCATCACTTTGAACTAGGTACAACATCTGATTGGTGTTCAGTGCGGCTTTTTCGCGGTCCAGTTGCACCACGTCCTCGCGAAATTTTCACTTCGCTACTCATGCTCAATCTGGTCCATGACGCTGTCGTACTGTTCACTTGTGGAGAGTTTTGGATGACTGAGCTGTTATAAGAAAGCCACTCGACTAATCGGAGTGACGGACAGACCTTTTGACCTCATAAAAGGACCCTTCATTCCTCTCCATGGATTAATAAACGCATCGCAAGCCGCATTGTCTGAACCGCCGAGCTCAATAGTTCTGCGCGTCTCCTCCTGAAGTTCAATAGCCGCGTCCTGTAGCAGCCGAGAAATGTTGAGAAAGCAATCTGCGCCGATACCCCGCCTCGCGCAAAGAACCCGGGATGCTTCCAAGAATTGACTTGTAACAGGTGGTACATGCATTCGGTTAGAATGATGCCAAGGAAATCAATTCCCTCGAGCTTGAGTTAACTCCCAGGCTTGAGAACCCGGAAGAACGCTACAATCGCTTTCTTTCATCCTTCGTAGCTGAAAGCAGCCACCATAAGGCGCTGGTGTACAAGTGCGAAAGTACAATCCATTTCGGTAGGCAGGTCGAATGTTGAGCCGACGAAGAACTTCATGTTCGGCTGGGCCGGTGGAAACAATCGGCTTTGGATGTCAACGCCGACGAGGGTAACACTGCTTGGGACGCTCTTCGCCATATCTAGAAGCCATATACCTGATGCAAAATATCAGAATCGAGCCTTTCATAGAGTTAGGCTGCTAGATACCGTACCTGTACCTGTACCTGTACCTGCGTCAAGGACCGCGTCAGAGTTCTTCAATTCGAGTCTCGCAGGCACAAGACCGCCGCTCAACGGCTTTACCGCTTCGTGCTGCCCATTCAAACGTGCACGCTCCCTTTCGTCGGAAGGAAGGAGATACGTTTAGGTGGTGTAGAACCGCTCACTGGCGTTGAGTTGGGGGATCCCGCCTTGCTCGGTGATGGTCGCCATTGTCTGGGAAGGTGACAGCAGGCGTCTGCCAATTTCTTCAGTTGGGGCCCTTTGATAGCAGTACTTGGGTCGTTACTCGTTACTAGTTCATACTCTCAAGACGAAGTGAAAGGTGTGCGGCGACTGTGGAGGAAGGTTCGGTTATTTGGGGTATTGAAAACGCACTTGGAAAAAGTAACTCCGACATACGATGTGATGTGATCGATCACCTCGTCCCACAAGGGACCTTGGTGGTATGGGTTGCGGGCGGTTACCCCATTTGGCTAGAAAACAAGATTTCCGTCTCTCGTGGATGCGCAATACGCACTCATTATCATAATGATTTGCCAGATATATGACAACGGGAGACGGAATTTCTGATGTTCACCAAAACTGAGCAATACCAGCTCATAATGGCTTCCTGGCAGTCCATGTGGCATACGTTCGTTTAAAGTGCAATCTTCGCCATTCATTTTCAACTTGATCCATGAAGTCGTCATATTCTTCGCTGGTGCGTGCAACGTCAAAGCCTGTAGAACTCGGATGTTTGAATAAAGAAATTCACTTCATGGTGCGGACTGACCACCTGCTTTCAAGAATGGAGCTTTCATCCCCTTCCAGGCCCCAATGCCAGCCCGTCTAGCGCTCTTATCACTTCCGTACGGGATTCGCGTCTTGATCATCCGAAGAGCCGTGAATCCAGCTTCTTCAAGAAGATCCGGAATTCTGAGGAGACAATCGGAGCTGACACCCCGGGCTTCACAAAGCACACGGGCGCCCATCCAGAATCGGTGTGTTAGAGGCGGGATCTCGGCTTCTTCCAGAACGCCAAGAAAATCTATCTCCTCTAGCTGCAGCCAGCCTCCGGGTTGTAGAACTCGGAAGAACTCGGAAATACAGGCTTTCCAGGCCTCTCGACTGAACGCAGCTACCATTAATCGCTGATGGACTAGAGCAAATCGAGAATTCCAGCCTTCAGGGAGACTGAGGGTAGTTTGCACCATGAACTTCGTGTTGGACGACGGCTGGGGGAACAGCCGTTTCTCTATGTCGATACCGGTTAAGGCAATCGTGGAGGGCACCATACGAGCCACTTCTAGCAGCCAAACACCTAGAAATAATCATCAGAAAGAGTAGTGCTGTCGATCACTGAACCTTTATACCTGAACCTGTGCCGGCATCTAGGACCTTGTCCCCATCAGCTAGTACCAGGGACGGCGGAATGAGCGACTTCGTGTACTTCATAAGCATATCATGCTGTAACTGGAGTCTGGAAATGTGACCAGTAAGCGACGGGAGATGAACTGAACAGATGAGAACGTCACCTCTCACGCTCATCCTCGTCATGAGGCAGTAGATAGGTTTCGGCCGTGTAGTATCTGTCGACGCCACTGAAGGTCGCAGGAGGACAGGCGGAGAGGGAAGCAGTGGACATGCAGGTTGTTTCTTTTCCAGCAACCCCTGAAAGTGATCGACTGAACGTCCATCGAAGTCATTATATGCCCGCAACTGGAAAGTCATTGACTGCCTATCCCGGGCTGCGGCTGCTGTGCCACTGGGCTCCAGCGCGATCTTGCCGAGTCATACTGTGAGCAACGTGCCGCAGACCATTAGGACTAGGACTTGGTAACAAGAGGCCCTTCACTGATCAGCAGGTACGAATGTAGCCGGCAGACAGAACACCCGGACAGGTGTATCCTCGCACGACGCCAGCATTTTCAGGTGTGCAGAGATAGCACCAGACGGATACCGTAAGAAGAGATCATTTGCATCCATGCCCATTCTAGTGCTCGTTTCAATGATCAAAGCTAGTTTCCAAGAGTATGATGGTCCTAAGAGACAGAGATTAGGTGAAAATGAACCCCCGGATTTGAATTGATGGATAACACGCCCAAGTTTGACCTTTGATTCCGCCATTACCGTTGTTCGCTTCCTTCGTCCCACCATCAACGCCGTCTAATGTTTTTGACTTCATATGGCTTTACGAGCTAGTGCTGTGTTCTCTATAGGTCTCGACAAACGACTGGGGCTAACTCTAGTACACGGGCTTCTTGGCGGTCCAGCCAATCCATAACCACGCGAACTCATATGTTGCCCACTCTTCCTCCATCTGATCCATGAAGGTATCGAATTCCGCAGGAGTCTGGGCGATACCAAACCCTATTAAATAACCACGTCTTCAGCTTGTGTCATACTGCCCTGGGCGGCAACATACCTCCTGCTTTCAGGAAAGGGACTTTCAGTGCACGCTGTGATCCCAAGGAGGCATACCTCGCCGCTTTCCCTGCTTCGCCATTTTGATACATGGGCTGCTTCCGGGTTTGAGTATCCTCGAATCCGACCTTCTTGAGGATATCGGGTACATCCACGATAGCATGCGGCCCAATATTTCTCGCCTTGCATAGTGCATGAAGAGCTTTCATCCATTGTGTCGTCAATGGGGGTGTAGGCAGGTGGTCGGACATGACTCGCAATATGTCAATCTCGAGTAATTGAATCTGGCCGCCAGGTTTCAGGCAGCGATAAAAACCAGCAATATTGGTATTCCAGGCATCCTCTGTAAACGCGCATACCATCAATCGTTGATGGATCAGGGAGAATGTCGAGGACCACTCCTTGGGAAGGTCCAGGCTCGATTGAACGAGGAACCGCGCATTCGGCACCGGGGAAGGAAAGAGCTTTTTTTCGATGTCGATACCTGTAATTTCCACCCCCTCAGGAACGGAGTTTGCCATGTCGATGGCCCAAGTACCTGGCAGAGGTAAGCTGCGCTTGCTCTGGTGGTTAGACACCATTTTTCTTACCCGACCCAGTGCCAGCATCGAGTATCTTGTCGCCAGTCTTAAGGTGAAGATCAGAAGGAATGCTTTCCCATGCAAGATCAGTTTTCAGCATTTTATGCTGTCTGTACAGCCTATTTGTTATACGGTGAGCAGAGTTTGCACATAATGTACTGCCAGACCCCTTGCCTCAGTCGTTCTTCCTCGTCCGAAGGCAGGAGGTATGTGTGCGCCGTGTAATACCTCTCAGCAGGAGCAAGAGCAGTAGTCGTCACGGTAATTACCATCGTAGCAGCTCTTCTTTTGATGTAGCTGAGGATCCCAGCTTTCATCCTAGTTAATATAGGGAACATGTCGTATGTCACGTGTGGACTGAACAACATGCGAATACATAATCGCTGCGCCAGTACTCTCAGTTGATTACCATTTTTGGATCGCGCCACAATCCCCTGCGGTCGTCATTGGACATGCGTGTCAAGCACCATTCGCTAATGAATCACTTCATCTAATAATGCCGCAGATCAACGTAGTTGGAATGCGCGCGCACTAGCGCAGAAGAATCTCGATGTCATTTACTTGCCATGTGCCATACGAAGGAAGAGCCAGTGCTTCTTTTCTGCACGTGAGGACGCATGCACACAGTTCTCTTTCCTTTTCCAACAATCACCGAGTCATGCAACATATCGCCAGACCATTTCAAGGAGTGCCGTCACCACTACGGAACATTCTGTCACGCTATTCTATCTCTGAATCGGCTTTCTTCCCGTCCAACGTGTCCACATCCATGCAAAGTCAGTCGTTGCCCATTCTTCCTCAACCTTATCCAGATACGCGTCAAACTCCGCGTCGGTCCGTCCAATTCCGAAACCTGTGAAGTACGTTTGCGTCGAGTGTATACTTCTAGCTGCGATCGGAGGAACTCACCTCCGGCCTTCAAAAAAGGGCCTTTCAGGCCTCGTTGCGAGCCAATCGCCGTATCTCTCGTGGCCTTGCCAGTATCTCCTTTCGTGTATCTCGGACTGATTTTGATCTGAATGTCGACGAATCCAGCCTCTTTCAGAAGCTCTGGGATTTGCACGATGGCTTGGGGCTTGACTCCCCGCAGGCCACACAACTGGCGAACTCCTTCAAGCCAACGTGCCGTGTACGGTGGTGTTATCACCTCGGGATAGAGAACTCTCAGAAGATCGACTTCCACAAGCTGGACACGACCTCCTGGCCTCAATGCGCGATAGAATCCAGCGATTGTCTTCTTCCAAGCATCCTCCGTGAAAGCCAGAACCATGAGGCGTTGGAAGATGAAGACGAACTTTCCCGTCCATTCCTCGGGCAGATCAAGACTGGACTGGACGAGGAATTCTGTATTGTGCCCCGCGGAGGGGAGCAACTCGCGCTCGATGTCGATGCCAACCACTCGCACACCTTCAGGAACAGATTGTGCCACATCAGATGCCCATGAACCTGTGTTATCTGGTCAGATGATACCTCTCTCTTTGGAAGATACCTGAATACCTGAGCCGGTACCGGCATCGAGGATTCGATCCCCTTCTGTCAGCTCAAGGTCCTCAGGGATAAGCTCAGAGCCGAAGTAGTGTTTGTAAACTACATGCTGAGCTTGAAGCCTTTTCGAGGGCTGAGTTTGGGTTCTTGGCCAAGACGTGGGAGCGAAAGCTTACCTGGCTTTCTCGACCTCGTCAGAAGGCAAAAGATAGGTTTCGGTGCTGTAATAGCGTCCAGCCTTGGAAGGAAACGCAGTGGTGATAGTCCTGATGGTGGCAGACATTGGGAGTTGAGGATCTTGTACACATATCGGATAAACATGTTATTCTATATATAAGCACTACGTTGAACCAGTTTTGTTTGGCGGCAAAACGGGTACTTCTCCGCGCTGAAGCTTGCGGATGACTGAGGTGGAAGCATACCTTCCCAATGGGGTAGCGGGCGCCCTCTCCTGCTGTAGCCTCTGCGGGGAGTGCTTCGCACCCGATCATTGGCTGATCTTGCCGCATGCCAGCGTAGCTTGCAAGCGCTATTATATCCGTGTCTATTTTAGCGCAACGGAAGGGTACGGTCGAACTTCTGGATTCGATTACGCCGTTATCAGTAAAAGACAGGCGAGGCGGGTGTCGCTGTAGATGTGCAAATGAGAGCAGAAGGAAACAGAGGAGTAAGGAAAAAAGGGGAGAAACGGCTACGGAGCTACAGAGTGGAGATATTTCATCGAATCGTGCGTCTGTACCCGGACAAGCCGGGGAGGACGTGTAAATGTCCGGCTGCTGCTGTTTACAATGCCAGAATGGCGCGGTTCGCCTACGCAGCGTACCCACCATGTGGCCCCACCTGACTTCGCTGCCTCCCATGCTGACTGCCATCGTAAACCTCTTCCTGTTGGTAATATGCGACATAGTCCTGTTCCTCGTACGCTACCCCAATGCTCTGACGTCGCTGAGGCCGTCGGTCTGCCTCAACGTATGCGTTCGGTGCGTATGCTACCCGTTGCTGCTCAGGTGATTGCAGGGAGACTTTGGAGTCTCCGTATGCGCTACCACCATGCATGACAAGATGATGGCTGCTTCCGTACTCGGAAACAGCGTCATACGTATTCTCGTCCAGCGAGGTGCTCGAATACGGAACATACTGTCGCTCCGCGTACCCTGTGTTGGGTGCGTAGGCTCCATGTTGTTGAGGGTAGGGGGGATAGGTAGGATTGGAAGGATGATCGATCGGCGGAGGTGGGTAGTCAGGCAGAGGGGACTTGAAATCGCTCCACTGATCCTGTTCGACCTGGTAGCCGGACTCGTAGTCGTCTTCCACTGAGAGCTTGGGCAGCGTCGGCTGCGGCAGCGGACCGTTACCCTTGTTCTTGTAGTGAGAGAAGTCGCCTGCGGCTTCCTTCCGTGCAAGAGCGGCTTGCTTGACGACACGCTGGCGGACCTTGCGCTTGATGAGCTCGGAAATACGCTTGTCGACTTTGTGGCAGCAGTATTCCTGCATATATGCGGTCAGCGTTCAGTCAGCCACGACAAAAGATAACACACCTTCAGGTTCCCTCGAATGTGGCAGAGGAGAGGGATGTACAGCACAGCTGCAGCGACGAGCATAATCAAACTGCCAGCGAAGACCAAAACCGTGAACAACATGGAGATGAGCAGTCCAGCTGTCAAGATCGACCCATCATAGTACAGCGACCAGTCGGTGGAAAAGTTGTTCACCTGGGCAAATGAAAACAGCACAATCGCATTGATGCACTGTCTCGGCCCGTCGGCGAGCAGGAGCCGTTTCCAGCCCTTGAAAGTGAAGAAGATGAAGAAGGCGAACTCATCCATGCGCTTCGTGCTGTTCGCGATCTGGCAGAAGAAGCAAAAGTGGTCGAATGACCTCAATGAGTAGTAGTTGTTGGCCATCAGGTTGGTGAAGGCATAGGAGATATCGCGAGAGAGGATGATCTTGCGTGCTTTGCGGGCCTCGTATATGGCCTGGCCGACTGGTCAGAGAGACTTGAGACGCAAAAAAAAATGGCAACGCACGAGGAGGAACCCAAAGATAATGCAGCCGACGAATACCCACTTGCCAATGTCGAAATTGACGATGATCGAGCAGTCGTTTGAAGAGTTACACTTCGTGTAGATACTGTTCGTCCATCGGTTGGTTGACAGCATGGTGGTGGCAGTGAAGATATCGGAGACATAGACGAGGAAAGACTTGATCACGACAATGTATAGCCAGATGTACCGTAGTGATGTCCAGAAGGAGTTGTCACGGTAGTCGCGGGTATCGACAAAGTCGAACTATGAGAGTGTGAGGCACGTTTCAGGGCAACGGACGGGTGAAGGGGACGCACTTTGTGTTCCGGCACCTCCTCACGCTTCCATGTAGGACCAGTGCAGCACATCCTCCTCTAACAAACGTTCCAATCGAGCGAAATGCAGAGGATGCAAAGAAGCGGTGCTTAAAGACCTAAGACGAGGGATGCGCGGCACCAGGCCAGCAAGGTGGTGGATAATGAGAAAACAGAAAATAAAAAAACAAATGAGATTGTCCGGTTGAGTCGGCTGTATGCCTGTGAGAGACTTGCTGAGGGTGTAAAGAATGACTGCTGAAAGAGCGATGGGGTGCGAGCGACTGCACGACGGGCGGGGGAGACGAGAGAAGACGGTGACAAGGGAAGGAGAGACGGCGACAGGGGATGACAACGGTATATTCTCGCTCTGTTCGCGTCTGAGGGTTCGATGGAAGCAATTGAAACACAGCCACTTCGCCGGATTTGTGATGTCTTTTGTTGCTAGGGCTCCTCATTGTTCATCAACTCGCGAGACCACCGAGCATATCGGACGTGACATACAAAACAATAATTATTGATAACTTTAGAGATTACAGAATCCGCACACGATCAGCGGGCAACGTGGACATAAAGTGGAGGTGAAGAAGTTGTTACAACAACTCGGCATATCTGGGGCTAACCTACTAATCCGACATATCCTATCTGCAAAGACGCCCTTCTTGTGCCGCTTTCTATTCAAGAATTGCACAACGTGGTCCAGGAGCAGTTGGACAATTTCATTGTTGTTTCAAAGCCCTACCTTGATTGTATTAGTTGGGTACACAGCGTTTGTTACATAAAATATTTGAATACAAAACATACACTGGGTAATATTAATATAATCACTCACATCATACCCGAGCGGTACTTTTGAATGAAGCGCAGTCCCACAGCCTATAAAGCTTTCCGCACCGTCCAATAACAATATTCCAACCTTGAATCTTCATCAAGAAGTTGCTGACAATGTGTGCATTCAAGTTGATCGGCAGGGTCAGGTGGCCGTTCAAAACGAGCGAATTCATCGGAGACGCGTGAACTACACACATTTCACATGAGTGCCTCGTTGGCTGTACCTCCCTCACTCCTTCTTCCTCTTCTCTCCCCTCACCTTCTCCGGTCGTTCTTTTCATTTTCTTTCGGTATTGAGCATTGTATACCACCGCACGTATGACTACCCGTTCATTTTCCCGTTTGCAGCTTGCTGCTGCTCTCATTGGTACGGGAATCATTACCCTGCTTGCCCATCGCTCACCCCACTCTCAGAATACGACAATGACGCAGACGACCCGGAAGGCCCCTACCGTATCGCACGCGAATCTGCCATCTTCGCTCACACAAGACGTAGTGCACGCCCTGAAGATAGCTACGGAGGAGACAGCTTCCGCCGCTCCAAAGCGGATTTCTTGAATGTCAAGCTACCCAGCGAGCTGGACGCTGCGAGTGAGCGGAAGAGCATGAGTAGTGGAAGGAGGACACCACTGGTTGGATATGGATATCAACAGGATAATGAGATACATGGAGAAGAAGTCGATTTAGCTGAGTGGGGGCTCGCGAAGAAGGAGAATGAGGAGGAAGATAAGGAGGAAGACGATACGTTTCGCGAGCCTGAACGCAGGCGTGCTGTTTCCGAATTCCTCCCTGGACCCAGTGTCCTCCCACAAGACAGGGGAGACCGCAGACTGTCGATCGCTAAGAGCGAACTGCTCCCTGCCTCGGGAGGTTTCAAGGATCAGCGCGCACGACGAAGCAGCTTGGGTGATTTCGGCGCCGGAGGCGCGTTCTTGGATGCTGCTCGTACTTTCCCTGGAGGGAGACCAGATCAAGGCCAACGCTCATTTACCGAGCCTATCAGCCAGCAGAGGAGGAACAGCCTCGTAGCGCTCGACGATAGCGCATCCCTAAACAACCCGTGGTCCCCAGTCGACGGTCCTACCACTGTGCCCTTCCCAAGCACCGAACCCGCCCCTCAAGAGGTGGAAGAGAACCCCTTCGCACTTCCCCCACCTTCACCCAGCAAATCTTCTCGCTTTGATCCCAAGACTCACGGTCGCACGCTCTCCACCGCCTCCATTGGCTCACGCGCGACGTTAATGGATGACCATCGTTCCTCAAGGTATATGTCTACTGGTCCTGGCCCTGATGATGCACGCAGCTCGAGGTACATGCCGGATGACGCGCGCAGCTCGCAATATTTCCCAGCGGACGATGGACGATCTATCGCCGGTTCAGCATACTTACGCGACGCGCAAGCCCAAGGGCAGGGACAAGCAGAAAGGGACGATGCGCGCCCACGCCGCCTCTCTGGATGGAATGTCCTCCGTCCCAAAGTGCTCGTTATGCCCAGTCCATTGCAAGATGAGGAGCATGCTGCAATGCCCTTAGACCTCGCTTCCCGCGGTGGGTTCGTTCATTCCAAAGACGGCCCGCCCCTCCCTCCCGGCGCAAAGGCAGAACATCCCGCCCCTCGACCGCTCAGCAGCATGACCCTCGCCAGTAAAGTCGATCCTTTGAACCCGCAATCGCCGCTTCACCTCAACCCGCGCGAGTCGCTCACCCTCTCCCAGCTCACCTTCAGGAACTCTTTGATGAACGATGTCGCGTATACGGATATGGGGCTCAGGAGGGCCGCTGAGGATGGTGAGAAGGTTACGGTGGAAATGGAAGAGGAAGACGAACCCTTGGTGAAGTCCGGGCGGGCACCAGGGGCTTTGTATGGAAGGAGTTTGATCGATGACCTCGAGGCGAGGAAAGCTGCTCTCCGTGGCAAACAGAGGTTCGCACCTTCTTTCGGTATCTATTGTTGATATGCTGAGAGAGCAGCAGAGTCTTCAAAGGCGACGATCGACCGTCGATGATGGACCGTTCAGGTGTTAAGCGCTCTAGCACACTAATTGATCCTGCCTCTTTCGGCGACACCCGCCCACCCCTTGCGCGCCGGAACACTAATATGTCGACGGGCAGCGGGAGGATGGGGAACGCCCCGCTGCTGTCGTTCGAGGGCGAGGATACTCTGACGTCTCCTATTGACCCTACTGGAACGAACAGGATAGCCAAATCCAAGTCCACATTCGGTGTGGACCAGCTTTGGGAAAAGGAGCTCGCCAAACTGCAGGTGATCGAAGCTGAGGAACAAAAGGCTGCTGAAGCCCAGCGAAAGAAGGACGAGGAGGAGGAAGCGCGTCGGCGAAAGAAGGTCAAGGGAAAAGGCACACGTGAACCGTCGGCGTTGGCCCAATCAGCACCGGCACAACCACCGTCTGTAAGGCGGATGTCGTCTAATTTGGAACTTCCCGCGGTGTCCGCAGGCGCGAGTCTGCTTGATGACAGTAATCGACGACACAGCACCGTGACTCTCGGTGTCAACAATTGGTTTAACTCGGACAATGACGAAGATGATGAAGATGAGAGCGGAGGCGAGAGGGCCGAGCTCATCACACCAAAGAAGGCGCGCCAAACGACCTACAACTCTCCCCCAACTCTGCCACCTAGTCTGCCCTCTCTGAGCCACCAGGTTGATGACAGCAGCGAAGATGAGGACGTGCCTTTGGCTGCGCGAATGCAGAAGCTCGCAGGCACTGGCCTTCCTCACAAGGACTCAGATTCTGAGGAAGAAGAGATGCCGCTCGCTGCAGTAATAGCCAAGAAACAGCTGGAGCGGAGCACTTCTTCTAAGCCCGGCTCGTTAGGGTCTGGCAAGCCAGGGAGCACGGAGTCTCCCAGATCGCCGTCGTTCACTGCTCCCGCAAAGGGGGCGGCCTTGCCTAATCTCGACTTCGGTGGCACCACTGGAGGATTCGCCGAAAGTCTTGGCCTAGGGATCAGCAGCGCTGCGAACGAAACCTCTACCAAGCGCGCAACAGCGGCGGCGGATGATAGTGATGAGGATAACGTACCCCTTGGACTTCGTCATCCCAGCACGCATATTCATTCCCCCGGAAATGCTGGAGATGAAGATGAGGCGCCGCTTGGTATGCGTTTCCCACAAGCTGCAATGCAACAGCAAGCCCAGGCCCAAGCTCTCCAACAACAGCAGTACATGCAGATGATGATGCAACAGCAAATGGTGTGGCAAGCTGAGCAGATGAGAACCTCGATGGCGTTTGGAGGAGGCATGACGCCGCAGATGACAGGCTTCCCGATGTCTTACGGCATGGGGGCACCTGCGGTGATTCCTCCGGCAATGTCCGATCCTGGCAAGTTCAATCGAGTGGACCAATGGAGAAGAGGTGTTGGTGCAGATGAACAGTAGAATTATCCCTTTTTCCCTTCTTTTTTTGCTGTCACTCACCTCTGAACACTCTCACGGAGACCATACCACTCTATGCAATGTGATACACCATTACCAATAAACTGTTAATTCCTCCACGCATTCAGTCGTTCGTATGATGGAATCCGTCTGGTCGATGGACATCAACGGAACATATCCAGTTGTTGTACACCACCTCATTCAACACTTCTGATGTCCGCTAATATAGCTAAGTAACTAATATGGATTGATAGTATACAGTGATGTGTGTGCAGAGGGAGACAAATTAGTCCAACAATGGGAAAAAGAGTCGTTACGTCAGCTACACAATGCAAGGACAGCAGGTACCGCGAAATGAAGATCTTCGGTCATTAAATAAGATGAGAATGTCTGTGGGAACAAGAAGAGAACAAATACCGAATATTATGCGTTCACAATTTTGAGCTGCCGTCGGGGAACTGTCATCACGACAACGTCCCTGTTGGACATTTCAAGCTCCATCTGTCGCTGACGCTGCTCATCATCCTCCTCTTCATCGCCGCTCTCGACACTCATGGGGTAGTGAGACCCTGACAGAGCATCTTCTTCGCGGCTGGCAGCACGGTGATATGGTGGCTGGTGGTAGGTATACGGCCCCAGTCCAGTTCGGCTAGGTGACCTTGTCGAAGGAAGACTGCGAGTCATATCCGGGCTCTGTGTGGGTAACTGGGCATGGACAGGTGGAGAATTGTGATGCCCAGCTTCTCGGACGCGAGCGAGGACAACGGCGAGAGAAGATGGTCGTGGTCGCCCATTCCATGCAAGCGCAAACACCGCGATATAGAATAGGATCGTCCAGACGAGGAACACGGCGGAGGCCCATGTGGCACCTCGTTGGAAAAGAGCGACGAGGGCGAGGATGCAGGCGAAAGTGAGTACCGCAAAGAGAAAGGTACGGAAAACGATAGTGGAAGTTGTGGGAAAGCGCATGTAGGTAAGTTTAGGGACTCCGGGCGTCGTGGGATTCGATGGCATTTCTGGCGAAGGGAAGAATTCAGGACCACCGTTATGTTGCTGTGTGTGACTGGCTGAAGAGTTTGCTTTCGTCATCACCAGGTCGAGCTCAGCAACACCGCCGATCTGGCCTCTCCGCTCCAGCCAACTCACATCGCTCAAGCTATGCATGGGCTTGCGATGTGTACGACGGTAGTCATTCTGCATCAACCTGGATGGCCCACTGACTCTTCGTGGCCTATTGACGACCTCAAAGCTCTGGACTGCTTGGGGTGGTGTCCCATCCGGATCCTCGTGGATGTTGCCGGAGTTTGAAGAAATGGGGGATGTAGGGGTTAGCGCGCTGTCGCTGACTCTTCTACGACGGCTCCCGACCCAATCACCTATCTTCGTTGTGACAAGCGTCGGTGAGGATGTTCGCCTTGTCTTGCGTTCGGGCTCTTCGGCAGAAGGCGGCGGTGGGCTCACAACATTATCGTTGTTGGCATCGAAATATCGCCTCTGAATATCATCGTGATTGATCGCGCTGGCGGTTGTCGAGTCTCTCGGTAGTTTTTCCATCATAGACAGACTGTCCGGACCAACTGACTTTGATGACCGCATTCCCCGAAGACACATCATAATGCCGAACCATGCCGGGACCAAGACGTACAAACAAATGAATAGTGCGAGACCCGCCTGACCATGAACAGTCTGCAGGAAGATCGAAGACGTTGACGTCGATCGTGTTGTGAGCGGCTGGGATACTCGATATATCGATGTGAATGCGAGCGCAAAGCCAGCGACGCCCACTGCGTAAGCAATGAGGGCGAAGGTCGACGTCAGGTACACGAGGGCCATCGACATTTCGCGGCTTCCCGGAGCCGGGGTGGAAGCATCACGAAGCATAAGAAGGCATGGGAGGAAGGCGGCAATCGACACGGCAGAAAGCACCTTGTGTGAGGGGGCAGTGTCAAAGGGGTAAAACGTGCCGGATGAGGAACCCGATGTTGGGCCAGATCCGCTTGTTGTGGGAGTGGAACCGGAGGACGTGGAAGTGCCCGTGGACGTAGAGGGCAGGGGATTATATGAAAGACATTGGGTCAGATAGTTGTTGCTGACTCCTGACCCGGTCGCGTTGTAGTCGTTTTCGATCGTGCCGTCGCCGAACCCGTTCCACCCTGTACCAGTTGAAGAAGTGACAGCCGCATTGAACTGTCTCAACAACCATAGCTCGTTTAGATATGTGCCGGTCGCGACGTCCACACCACCGAAAATAACGGTATCAGATGCTGCGACGTCGCTGCTTCCCACCATGACGCTGCTGTGTGAAACCGCTACCGCTCCGTAGCGTGGGGACGGAACGCTGCCGCCGTTCGATGGAATAATTCGGGACCAATCACCCGTTTCTGCGTTTAGAATATCGACCTCGCCCTGAGACGTACCATTCCACTGTAGTGGATCGAGCCATCCGAACATCATGAATGCCTGTTGTTGAAAGGTACTGGTAGCCGTATTGAGATTTGGTGCCAGTGTCGCTCCGTAACGGCCTCCAGGGCATGTCGCACTCATCTGAGCCCAACTAGGGGTATTCGCTGGGTTGCCCGAAGAGAAGCTGAGTGCATCAGCTGTCGGAATGGCGCAAGTGGCATTGTTCAAGGTAGAGGCGGTCGTATTGCAACCTCCAACGATGGTGACCAAAGAACCAGGGAGAACTGTGTTTGCTTGGCCTTGAAGAGGAGCAGCTGCCAGATTGGGATTATTGGGGGAAAGTTTGTTCCATGTGCCGATCGTCATGTTGACATTGTTGGATGAGAGGGTGCCTGTGATGAGCAATTCCCACACATCGTTGTAGAAGTTCGTGCCGTCAGATCCGCCGACCATAATCATGGAAGTTGTGAGCTGTTGCGCATTGCTGACGAGAGGATCGATGCCTCCTGATGCACCATAGCGAGCACCAGGTCCGGGTACGGAAGCATCGATGGTCCCTTCTGACCAAAACTGGCTGATGAAGTCGAAACTCTGTGATGCACGTCAGCGGTTTGTCGGATCATAGGAATGGAGCAGCGCGCACCCAAAAATCCTCTAGAGGCCCACCCGTCCCAAGACCGCCATACATGGTAAACGCGCTCCGACTAGAACAGAGATGAGTCCCCGACAATGGCAACGTGACGAACAGACATACTAGCTGGCAGCATAATCGCCTCCTGCAATAGCCAAGCTTCGAGCTGGTGGACTGGCACCCAGACCGGGAGGGGTATTTGGTGGACCCCACGTTACTGCCTTGAAATCGAACATGGTGGTCTCTCCTGTCTGCTGGCCGGCAGACGAAGATCCTCCGAATACGATGAGTTTGCTTGATGTCGCATCATAACCTTGTAGAATAAGGATGAGAACTACGAGAGAATACATATGACGAGATGTATGCACCTATCAAGGCATCTTTGACGGGGTTGGGTGGAGTCCCGCTGGCAAAACTTCCCAGATTTATCCATTGTAGCGGAGGAGAAACCTGGTTTGTTGATGGCGCGGTTTGAGCGGAACAGACGAGGGCGTAAACAAGGGCAATGAAGAAGGTATGTGCCATAAGTCGATGTTGACGGGCGACGATACCCTTCGAGAGGGTGAGGGATGGAAGAAAGGAGGGCAGGAGGATGAGGAAGAGGGTATAGGACAGCGAGCACAGGGTGGCTCTGTAGAGAGTGACGGGGAAAGAGACGACGCAGTCGCCGAGGAGTAAGAAGGAGAAATAGGTGGAAGATGGCTGTATGCGCATATATGAATTTACGGCAACGAGGCGAGAAGGCCGCGGGAACAAAGGGAAGCGTCTCCGGGGCGATGCATCTGCGACTGCACACGGGCACGTTACCAACGCCCTGAGAACGACGGCGAACGGCCCCCTTTACTCAGACGACGGTTATTGTTGTGACTTTACACTGAAATTTACGATGGTCATAGATGAGAAGAGTGTTCAACATCCTCCTCCAGATCTTGCGGAGGACATGAGTGCCGTCAGGGTCGAAGTAGACGCAGAAAACACCGGCGAAGGAGACCTTCCGACATATGCAGAGCTACAACAAGCAGCGCCACCGAACTCGAGGTGCGTCTGCAACAATCCAGCGCTTATCGTCTTTTTTTTACTACGAAACGCAGGTTCGGACGCTGGAGAGAGTGGATAGACAAGCGTTCTGCTGAACGCTTTGCCGACCAGACGCCAGAGGAACGACGCGCACGGCAGGAACGCTTGGGCTGGGGAGAAAATGTACGTACATCTATTACGGCATACATAATGACAACGCTCATGTTCCGTTCCATATATCTTTAGCTTGTTGCTTCTCCCACCGATGTCAGCCCACAGGCGGACGAACATATCGCCTCATCGAGCTTCCAACCTACCCCACCCGAACTGCAATCACCACCCTCATACCCGCAACCACCGCGTTTAGGCGATCCTCTACCGCCCACCCAAGCAGCTCTTTACACCTTTGGTTCCCGCTTCCTCTCCCATTCCAGACACCACATTTGCTGCCTCCTACCTGTCGCACGTGACCACTTCCTGCTCATTGGGACAACCGAAGGTCTTTCTGTACTCAATGTTCTCCCGCGGCTACATGGGGAGGAGCCACTGGGTGTGTCGGCCGGACTAGATGGCGCCAAGACGCGAGAACTGTGGAGGGGCTGCGGGGTTGTGCAGGCCGCCTTGCTCGAGGATGCGAGCGGCATCATGGGAGGAGATCCTGATCAAGGGATCGTCCTTGCGCTTGTTACGACAACACATTATGACGCAACGGGTCGCTGTGAGACCGTGCGACAACTGAGGATGTACAAACTGTCGAGCTTGGTCAGTCTGATTAAATGGACTGTTACCCAAAAGGTACGATGATCCCTGAATATTTATAAACTCTCCTAACACCGTGTCAGGAGTGTGTTCCAATAGAGCTTCCTAAGTCCGCGTCTTGGGACAGCCCGTCTACAAAGAAGCAGCGAAATCGTCTGAGCAACTTGATAAACCTACTAGCCGAAGGGCCAGATCACGCGCCTCGACCTTCTTCTCCTCAACCCGCCTCACCTTCTCGCTCCCAGTCCGTCCGTTCGCGCCCACAGCCTCCTGTCGGCAGGTCTTCGTGGGACAATATGGACGATCTTCCTCTTCAATGGGCAACCGACTACCAGCCGTTTCAGCACCCCAAAATTGCGGGTGCTAATGTCCTCTTCTTTGAGCTCTGGAAATCGGACGACAATGGAAACTATGGACGCACCATGCTGGCGGTTGGGACGCCCAAGAGCATCGTCCTCTTTGAGGCACCTCGAGGCGAACGCGCATTTACATTTGTGAAGGTAAAGCGCATACATTCACGGTTCACTGCAAACACACTCATATCGAACTAGGACTATTATACCCCACATCCACCTAAGAGCGCCAAATTTATTCACCAAGCAGTTCCTGAAACCACTTCCCCTGCACACCATCATACCCTTTCTTCTCATAGCAAAGAGAGCATGCGTTCCGAACACGGGTCGATTAGATCCACGCGCATTCGTCGCATCTCCCTTCCAGGACAAACCACGCCTCAGCTCAGCCTGTTCATTACATTCGAGAAGAAGGCAGTCGTCGTCCGGCTCAGCGACGCGGCGGTTGGAGAAGTTGATGTCTATTCGGACGGCGGACCTGCCGATCTTTCACCCACACATAGTCTATCTGGTCATGGCAATAAGTTGCATAAACACAATTCCGACGCTGGAAAAGAAAGCAGGCCTCTGTGGGCGCCACTCGTGCCGCTATACTTGCCCATTCCAACCCCATTACCTTCAACTTCCCAGTATTATGCACCACCACCTGAGCGTGTATACTACCTCATCACGCGTGGCAATCATACGTACGCTTATCCAACACCTTTACCCATCCCTGTCAGTGTGTCGCAGGCATCGTATGTGCACACTTGGACCGCGCCACCTAATCAAGTCGCTGGCCGCGTTATTCTGGGTCCGGACGGTGCCGCCAATCTTCAGCTCATCAGCTTTGGCAATGGAGTGGAAATCCAGGAGATCCCCGTCGCCGACATCATCTCTGGCCAGCAGAACAAGTCTCTTGGACGCGCTGCTGGCAAACTCAGGTCACCTACAGCAAACACGCGCTGCACAATTGTGCACGAAGGCTTCCCCGCGGGATACCTTTGCTCCGGCGGGGAATGGAACAGGTTGGCTGCTACCGGAAATGCGTGGAGGCTTCTATCCACTCGACCGCCGGTCCAGAGAAATATGTCGGACGACTCCTTGGACGACAGATCGCGTGTGTCAGATGCTGGGGTGTACGCTTGGATACAGAAGGACGTAGAAGATTATCGCGTGTTTTGGCTTGGATCGAAGGACTCCGATGTCTGAGGCGAGGCTGTAGCAATCCATGATCTGCTCATTTCACTGTAACATACGCATGAATGTAATATGATGTTGTTTCGATAATAGGGATGCGGTCCTGTTTGCTGGCAGAATATTTGAACAGACTTTAGAACCTCTCCGAGCCGCAGAAGTATCAGAAGGTGACGACGTAGTGTCTCCTTTGTTTCGGTATCAGTCATGGAAGTATTCTGCGAAAGACATTCCAGTCGATTCTCGCCTTCTGGTTCAATGTGTACATATATGACACCAACACTAAAGTGAGACGAGGTTACACGTTCAAGGGGGTCATCACTTGCAGGTTCAGGAGATGAACACGTATGTACGGTCATTGACGAGGGACAAAAAGGTACATCCAATACACCGGTAAGAAAATATACTACCAATCAGACAAAGGGAATCATCAGACAGGTATATGTCGTGATATAGGGTATCTTCCTTTAATTCCTTGGATCCTCGCCCTCCAGGCCGCAGGACAACGAAATGCATCCTATCAATCAGACCCGCCACCCGTCGTTTATTCTCTCCCCCCACCCTTGCCTACCCTCGCTCATCCAACTGCGGGCCTTCCAAAGCCCCGCGAGCTCGTCTTCTCCCCGTCTTTCCCTGTATTTACCTTCGGGTTTAGGTTCCGGCACCTTGTCCCTTCCCTTCCCTTTGTCTTTCTTCGACACCTCAGCCGCCGCACCAGCTCGCGCAGAAGGCAAGAGCCAACTGACGACGGACCATCCTGTCTTATTCGCTTTCACTGGCACGGGAGTATGGACCACCTCAGTCATATCCTCGGGTGGTGGAGACGTCGCTCTCGACGGGATCTCCGTCGGGGTGGGCGAAAAAGATACATGTTTCCCATGTCTCTCTGTGCCAGATCTGAATCTGCGAATGGCACTGGGTACGGGAGAGGTTGAGCTATTGGCTCGGAATTCGCTACCGCTGGCTCCATGGGTGATGTTGGCCGTCTCAAGGGTTTCTCCTGGGGGAGTGGAAGAGGAACGAGGAGTTGGTGGTGGTCGCGTGATTGCAATTGAGGGTAGTTGAGGTGTCACAGGCCTGAACTGTGGTCGCCTTAGAACAGGCGCAGCGATTACAAGTGGCTCCGGCGCAGGTTGAGCTGAAAGAATAGCACGGAGGTGGTTGATGCTCCGCGAGAGAGGGACAGGTTCTTCGCCATTTGAAGGGGGAGATGTGCAGAGTGTTAGGGACGGACGCGGAGGAGAGGGGGGAAGATTTGGGGAGATGATCTTGGGTCGTGCTGGGCTAGACACTACTAGCTCTTCGGTCTCTATCGCATTTGTGCCTTGTGCCTGGGGCTCTGTCTCTGTCGGTGGTGGACGGTCCGATCGAGAAAACATGCGTGGTTCCAGGGAGCGAATCCATTTACCCATATCTTGAGGTACTGATATACTTGCTGTGAGAGTTCGCGACCTCCTCTCTGCTGGCGGATCCGCAGAACTGTCTCTTCTATCCCTCCTGTTTTCCTTCGGTCGTGAAAACCTGCCAAGGGGATTGGAGGCGGAGGGCGGAATTGGCAACGCCACCATGGCCGAGTGAGGAGTGGATGGCTGGCTCCCTGGTCGACGCTGAAGCGCCTCCCTGGAGAGGATCTCGCTGACAAGGCGATACGCAGGGGTAGAGGGTTGGAATGACGGGGTAGAGACTTGTGGTGCACTTATATCGAGACCAGAAGAGGAGAGTGTAAGGGGGGGAGGTCGAGTGGGGGTTCTGCTTGCTGAGCGGGACAGGGTCGAGTTTGGTGAGGAAGAGATGAAGTGCTGAGGCACCCCGTTCGATAGGCGTGCAGGACGTGGGAAATGATATCCATCCAAAGAAGGTGCGTCTTTTCCACTAAGTGATCCGCTAGAAGCCATCCTCGGGAGACTGGGTCGGTACGCATGAGCGAGAAAATTTTCCTCTGGCAGGCTTCCAGTGTATGTCTCTGCTGCAGAGGGGACCGTGACGCTACTCAGACTTTCGTCCCATGCGCTAGTCTCTCCATCTGCGTCTGCAGTCTCATCCTCGGCTTCTTCTGTTATGTGCTCGCCTGTCCACCTCCCGCTAGCACTGCGAAACCCTCCCATCCTCTCTCGTCTTCTCGAAGATACATTTGGCGGATGATGCCCCATCGTTTGACCATCGTGGAAAGAATGGGAAAGGAGCGCATTGGACATCTCCAGAGCCTTCACGCTGCGTTCCACAAGCTGCTCCAACCTACCGTCCACCTCTTCATCCGCACTGCCCACACTTCTCCAGGTGGAAGTAGATGAAGGATGTCGGCGGTGGCTGATCCGTCTACGCGGCGGGTGTGGGGAGGTGTAAGCACTACTGAAGGGGTCTGGTTCGCTCTCCCGCTCTGGCGAAAAGAGAGATTCGGGGGAGAAGTTGGACCGAGAAGCCAGCTCGGAGGGGTACTTGCTCACGCTCGACCTATGACGATGGAATGCTCTTGCCTCTGCCGGGGGGCTACGATATCCCGGTAGGGTCTCGATGTCTGCCCCTCCACCTGACCCAACAGAGGGAGGAGGCCACTCCTGCATGCTCCCAGAGGAGCGACCATACGCCCGAGACGGTGGGGAGGTTGTATATGTGTACTCGGGTAGGGTGGTGATGCTCGAGCTCGTTGAGAAGCGTGAGGTCGAGGAGCGTGAGTGCCTGTGTGTGAGAGAGTGGCTTCCAGGAAGTGGCTTGACTGGGATGGGAGGCGAGGTGCGCCCTAGGTAGTCCTCCATTTCCAGGTAGCCAAGTAGTAGGAATCACAGTACGAGATTGAGATAAAGTAAGAGGACGACAAGAGAAGAAGAAGAGTAAAGTGAAGTCAAGCAGATGAGTGACCGCGACTTAGATGAGGGGGAGGAAGGGCAGTCAGGGCCTCCCAGTCTGATGGTTTGCTTCGATAGCGTCACACCCCTCACGGGAACAATACTCGCCACGTGCGCGCGACCCAACCAGAATTGGGCGCGCCCGAGTCATGTTCTTGTTCCTTCCAGACGCGGTTGATGATGACAATGTGGCATCCAGGTGGATGTCATATATAACCACGTGTATTCTGGACTGCTTTGACACGCTTTGCTGGCTCACAATACGCCTGTGCACTATTATCACATGACGATTGCATCTGAACAGCAGATCATTGAACGGATCTCCAGTGGGCTGCCTCCTACTGCAAGCTCCGGGATCCTTGATGCTCAACCTATGTATCAACGCATTTCCTTTTGAGTGAATTTCTACTAGAGTACATACTTGTACAGTATTTTTACTGATCTTCTGGTCACGGCAGTTCCAATGTACCTTGCATGCCCCCTTTCAAAACTCTCGAACTCGTCCCAAGTCAACCACAACCGTCAACGCCAACGACTCGAAGACCTTCTCTATATCAGCTTTTTCTAGCTTCGCGTTTGACTCCTCAATGGATGACACCTCCGATTTCTCCGTTTCTTTTGAGGAAGGCTCAGACAGGTCCCAATTCTCGTCCATATCCCCATGCAGAGCAATCTCCTTCATCATGAACGTGCTCAACAGCCTGAAGACACAGAAAGCAAGCATGAGCTTCCATACGACACTCATGCTGTCGGCGAATGCCTCCTTGACCTGTGCTTGTATCGGCTCGGGCAACGTTGGAATGAATGGGATTGCAGCGAAGGACACGTCCACATCCCCAGGGAACAACGCCAGAAACCCAGCAGGAAGGCGAACACTGAGCTGGTTCTGCAACACAGCAGAGCCAATTGTGATACTGAACGTTTCGGTAAAGGTGCGCGAAAAGATGAAAAAGGCCATTGCGCTTGCGTTTCGGGACACGGGCAGCGGGGCGATAACGGGAAACCTGACGGCCGTCCAGACGATCCCAAGGCCGCATCCGGTAAGGACTTCGAATCCAAGCCATTCAGCGGTAGGGGTATCAGGGCGAAGAATACTGAGCATGCCTATGCCGACGCATATGAGGCACCAACCGATCCAGTTCTGGGGCACGTAACGCTTCATGGTTACGGTCGACATACGACCGAGAAAGGCAACTGGGGCAATGCTGAAGGGCATTCCGAAGGTATCCACTCCGGCTTGGATAGGAGAGGCGGCGAAACATGCCTGGAAGAAAGTAGGCATGCAGAAAATGACTGCAATGGCAAGGATGGAATGGAAGAAGGACCTAACGAAGCCAGCAATCGACGTGCGATTATTGAGGAGGTCGAAAATGCACTGTTGGCTCAACGGATGTCAAGTGGGCTTCGTATACGAAGGACGCGACTATGCCAAGAAGTCCCAGGCTAAGCGGCACGAGTGTCTGAGCCGACATCCAAGGCACGTTGACACCGCGAGTGAGCGCAATCGTAACGGCACATGTCGCCGCTGCGATCAAAGCATTTCCGCTAAAGTCTTTGGGTCAGCCAGACATGTATGCATTACGACACGCGTACTGACGCCCGATCGACCTTCCGTGTCTTTTGCATGAGACTTCCGCTTGGTCTTTTCAGCCTCAGGAGTACGGCGACAAGGACGAGAAAACAGACGGGGATATTGATTCGAAAGATCCATCTCGATGAAATCTTCTCAGCGAACGCGCCGCCGATAGGAGGCCCAATCGCACTAGCGAAGACCCAAACAAGCGATATGAAACCCAAGAATACTCCACGCTCTTTGAGTGGAACAAGGTCGGCCAAGATGATCTTTGAAAGAGAGATGACATCGCCGGTTCCTTATCCCTGGACAGCGTGGTACGTATCATTTACGAGGTAATGATCATGGATTGAATAACGAACCGTGACCAGCCATTAACATACTCATCTGCCTTGCCTCGCCGGACATGATGGGACCTAGAAGAAACAAAGAAATTGCAATGATAATAATTGGTTGGCGGTCGAATGCGTTCGCCAAAGCACTGGAGAGTCTATCAGAAAGCGATCGCTGCGGACCCTTCGAGGCACAATGTCAGAAACTATATCACATACCTATTAGCCACTTTGAAGGCATAATCACAAGTCTAGGAGAACTCAGGGCGCTCCGAATACACAACAAGGCATGCGTTATTACACAATTCATAATGGTGACATACATGACACTATATGAGAATCGTTCAAGCTGGAGATGACGATGTTCCCTGCTCCGCTGTTGTTTCCTGGGCTCGGTTACGACGTGACCTCAATCCTGTCACTGGCTCCATCTCAACCATGACTTGAGCTTCTGACAAATCCCAATTCTCGTCTGTTTCCTCATGTAACTCAATTTCCTTCATGAGGAGCGCAGTCAGCAGACCGACGACACAGAAGGTCAGTAAAACTTTCCAGACGATGCTGAGGCTCTCTGCAAATGCCTGTTGAACTTGTACCCGAACGGGCGCCGGTAAAGTGGGTATGAAAGGGATAGCCGCGAAGGATACATCCACATTCCCCGGTAGGAGTGCCAGGAAGGCAGCAGGGAGGCGCATCTTGAGCCCGTTCTGGAGCACGGCACCTCCGATTGTGATTCCAAACGTCTGAGCCAGAATGCGTGAAAACGTGAACAAGGCCATGGCGCTGGCATTGCGTGATACGGGTAGCGGTGCAAGAATCGGGAACTTGACCGTGGTCCAGACGATACCAATACCCACACCCGCAAGGACCTGGAAGCCGGCCCATTCTGCAGTCGGAGTGTCGGCCCGGAGGAGACTTAGACAACCGGTCCCGATGGTGATAATGGCCCAACCAATCCAGTTTTGTGGGACATAGCGTTTTGTGAGAACGGCAGAAACACCGCCCACGAGTGCGAATGGTGCGATTGAAAAACTGAAACTGAACATGTTGACACCAGCTTGGATTGGAGATACTCCTATGCATGCCTGGAAAAAGACAGGCATGTAGAAGATAACTGCAGTCGAGATGACGGAATGGAAGAAGGTCGTAAGAAATCCTGCAACAGAGGTACGGTTGGTAAGGAGATCGAAGGGAACGGTTGGTGTGGTGACCCAGTTTGCCTCGTAGACAAAGAATGCGATGGCGCCTAGAAGACCAAGAATAAGGGGGACAAGCGTCGCGGCGGAGCTCCAAGACACATCCACGCCTCCTCGGGTCAGGGCCACAGTGATCGCACACGTGGCTGCGGCGATCAACGCGTTGCCTCTGTCATAAATGGCATTAGCAATGTTACTTCTCTGTATGACATGACGTACATCCAATCAAGTCGCTTAAGTTTCTCAGTGATGCTGCCACTGGGAATCTTGAGCTTCAAGAAAGCAAAGACCAGGCAGAATGTAAAGAACGTGAGAGGCAAGTTGATACGGAATATCCACCTCCAAGAATTGTTCTGGGATAAGGCACCACCGAATGGAGGACCCATCACAGCAGCAAGCGCCCAAACAAGGGACATTATTCCCATGAACATTCCACGCTCCTTCAGTGGGACGAGGTCGGCAATAATGATTTCGGTCATCGCGAGAATCCCGCCACCCCCCATGCCTTGTACAGCTAGCCCTATGATAAGCTTCCAACAAGAGAAAAGAAGCTAGACTGTTACTCACTCCTTCCGGCAATCAGCATATTCATGTTGATTGCCTCTCCACATAAGATGGACCCAGAGAAAAACAGGCCAAGCGCCAGCAGTACAATCGGTTGTCGACCAAATGCCCCGGCAAGGGCGCCAGACAGTCTTGCCATACGTTTAGATGCGAATAGACACAATGTCCCCCAAAAGCACTCACGGAAGCCAGGCGGAGGAAGCGAGCGTATAAGCACTGCCCACCCAAGAGAAGGAAGCCTCCCCATCCAGATCAGCCACGATGCTCGGCAGCGCCGTCGGAACACACGACGTATCGAGGGCACTCAGAAACACCGACATGGCGGTAGCTGAAAAAATGAGCCAGAAGTCGACACCTCTTCTCGGCTTGGAGGGCTTGGGGGTAGCAAGCCTTGTCGTGGAAGTGGAGGAGTTCCTTACTGACGAGGAGGGCTGATACGGCACCTCAGCAACCAGGATGCTGGCTGGGTCGTCATAGTTCTTCACGAAGGAAAGAGTCGAATCGTCAGTATTCATGAGATGTAGGAGAGCAAGGTTGAGAGGTGCGCATGCCCCACTTGTCAAGCGCTTATAAGGAGTACGGCCCGGGGCTCCATTGGCTGTTTCTTTGACGGGATAATCCATTTGATTCATTCATTTTCAGAAAATGAGACCCGGTATGAAAAGTGAGTAATTGCAACGGCATGCTATGCTATGCATACAGTACAGATGACGCACCAGGCTGTTATTGAGACGATCGGGCGGTCAGGGTCCTCGGATGAAGTAGAGACGCGACCAATATTATATTAGTGACAGAGCGCCTCAGATGAAGTAGAGTCACGCGATCAATATTAATGACAGAGCGCTCGGTGGCAATTGGAAGTGCTCGAGGAATAATGGCTATCTTCACAGAGGCCTCGTGACCATTCTAGAACTAGCTGCATAGGAAAGGTGTCAGCTGTGTTTTTTCTGGCTGTGAGAGGAGTAAAAGGCCCGAATTTGCCCAATACAGTTTGCTTTTCAATGGGAGCAAGTGCTTTGCTTCCATGCAGTTGAAAAAGCACGCGCAAGTGAGGTTTTTGCTTCCGTTTTCTTCCTTTTTCCACCCGTGACTTCCCCGTTTCAGCTTAAATTCATGCCGGGGGCGGTACGTGCCCCCGACACAAATTCGTGTAACGCGCTGTGGACCCCTGAATCCAGCATAATCCAGGGCCGGATGATTTTTGCACCGAGTTTTGAAGCATGCCCCATATCACGTACCCTGGCACATCCTGTCATGGCATGAGCACATGAATATCTAGTGACACCACTCCCTTGATGAATCCTGCAATACCACCTACTCGGAGCAGCTTGCTGCCATTGAGGACTCTTCCAAGCTCAACATCCCACAGTGTGAGACTCTCAGTTCTGCCCAACACACAATCAAGGCAATGAGGCAAGACTGTCACCCTCTCTGAGCTATGTGATGCAAGACATGGTCAAATCAGAGTTGCACAACAAGCTCCTCTCACATCTTCATCTCTAGGGTCTTGAGTTGTAGGCCTGAAGGACATACAGGAAGCAAGAAACAAGAAGAGAAGGGCTTTGGATGAGGAAGAGGAGCAAGCTCTTGAATACATGAGTCAGCATTATGTGCCACATGCCATGTCTGAGGCCCATCTGCCAAGATTCGAGGATGGGCCTGAGCTCAGTGATTTGGAGAGTCTAGATGAGCAGGCTTGGGTCACTGACGAAGACAAGCCTGCTCTAGAATCAGTCTTGCAAGAATATCAGTGCATTTCTCTCCTGTGCATGAGTTGACTGCTCACTAGCATTCCCAGCAACTCGCAATCACATTACAACACTGGATCCGGGCCACATGCTGCTAAGCTTGCCAAACTCAATGCTTGATGGGTGTCAGGGCACCAGCTCATTGCTTGGTCAAGAGACATGACTAAGCCTTTATGACATGGAAGTAGCTGGTATACCTTGGCATGTGCTGGAACCTGCTGGAAGGATTGGATGGTCAGGTGACCTGCTGTGCATGGCTGTGCATGACCTCATATGACCTCATCCTTGGTCATATGACCTGATCACCTGACTAGGCTGAGTAAGCAAGATGTTCTAGCAGGTTCCACCACAGAGGTATAAATATAAGGCCTACTCTGCCTGGGACTGTCTCTTCAGACTTGGTCTCTTAGGATCATCCACAGGTACCTATACTGTAGATAGGTCTTAGTCATCAGGTCTACTCCACTTCCTTGTTGCCTGCTTAGACTCTTGGCACTCTTAGGTGAGCAGACTTAGTCAGCCTGTGTTGCCCTAACAGAAGACCAAGTCTCCAAGTGACAACCTCTGCTTCACCACTCCACCTCTACTCTTACCTGCCTTTACTCTTACCACACACACCCAACACCTGCCTTATTCCATATCCACCATTATGGAACAAGCAGAAGAATTCCCTGATCCCATTTCTATTCTTCAAGCACAGGTCCTAGAGCTGACTCAGCAGCTCCAACAGCTTATGACAGCTTCCTGGAGTAATCAGCCTACAGCCCCTGTGTCTAATCTCCAACCCAATAGTAACTATGACACCACTACCTATGGTGACAATAGTCATGGAAA